GAGCACTTTCTGATTCCATCCTCCATACCAAAATTCAGATATTTTCACACTCTTCCTACTCCTTGCACTCATTCCCACTATTTGTCTTATCTGATCTCTTATAATGTTGCTACTGAGAAGGAAAGAGGGACCAGAAAAATTGATTTTCCACTTGTGAGAACCTTCTGTATGCAATGAAGAATTTTATTTTTGTTAGTGAAGAGAAAATTAAGTAAAACACACCCCCTTTACAGCCAAGTAGAGAAGGTGACAGGGACACTGGTGACTAATACAAATGAGACAGTTTCCATCAGAGAAGAGCAAACAAGAAGGTGCAGAATACATGGAAGAAAATGGTCACCTCTGGTTCAGGAGGTTAAGCTTCAAAAAGGAGAAGACCTCGTGAAGGAAATGGAATCTGAGTTTTGTGTTGAAGAACGGTACCGATTTTTAATGGACAAAGATCAGGGAGTAATCTTCCCATCCAGGCAGATGTAAAAGCAAGTAAAGAGGGCAGTGACGAAAATCTGTGAAAGTGTTTATTAATTGGAGTTCAGGAACTGTATGGAAGAATAACAAAGACTAGAAACATTAAGTAGGACCACAGTTAGAAGTCTGTGTGAGGACAGTCCAGGTGAAAGAAGTTGTATCTGTTGAGATTTGCATAGAAATCTCCAGAGTTTTGAGCATGGGAGAGCCATGAACAGAACCTCAACTTTGAAAGGAATAATTGATGACCACATATAGGTAAGACAGGGCAGAGACTGGTGACAGGAAAGTCCACAGGGAGAAGAAGGGCCTGAGTTAGCAAAAGCCAGCAGGCAAGAAACGGAGGACAGCTTTAAAGATAGCTGAAGGAGAAGCTATCCTACTCCAAAATTGACTGGATATTGAAGTGGGGCATGGAATAGACTTTGAGATCTCAAAACACTGAAAGAAATGAGGGAAAAAATCAAGGTAAGGTATTTTGGAGGAGTTAAAATAAAAGATAAATTCGACCATGAACATGGTGAATTTGAGGTGCAAGCAGGACATCCAATAATTTTTTCAACCAGCATGGAGGATGGAAAGGGATGTTGCTTTCCTTCCATCATTAAATACGTACCGAGCACTGACCTGTGAGCCCAGCAGACTGAGGTGAGCCGTCAGGCATGGCTGCTGCCTTCAGGGAACTGGTGATCCAGCGGGGATGACAAATAGTCAACATATACCCTCCGAAATCATTACCTGTCCTTAGCTATCAGTGAAAGTTTTCCTCTTAAAGAGATATCTTAATTAGGTCTCCAGGGTGAATAAAAGTTCTCCAGGAAAAGAGGCAGGGAACATTGTCCTGGCATCTGTCTTGATGGAGAATGGAGCTTGATATGTTTAAAGAATTACAAGAAGGGTTCCTTGTGCTAAGCAAGGAAAGAAAAGTCATTTGCTACCATCCATTTCAAAAGTGGTCCCTAGTAGAGCTGGAAAGAAGGGAATATATGGAGGGAAATGTGAAAAAGCATCTTTCTGGCTTTAAAATAATTATGATGAACTTGGTAGCCCAAATCTCTATTTCTCAGTCCTATTCCCTTCCCAGCTCAGAAAGCATGATAACTCATTTAGGAATAAATCAAAGTAACCAATCTGCATAATGCTGAAACCATCCACAGTGTGCTGGGAACATAGCACATGGCCAATACATGTTTTTAAATTCACCTGTGCTGGAGGGATATCTATATACATGAGAACCTTGCTCCAATGACCCTAGTTGATTTGTGCTATTTATATGCACATGCTAGAAAAGATGAAAGAGGGATCTTATCTGTGCTACTTAAGTTCACCTTAACATTGGTTTCTTTCTCACCTCTCGGCATAGCCTTGACACCCAGTTGAACTACCCCATGATTTCAGCTGGAAGTTTTGGATTGTCGTGTGACTATAAAGAAACCTTAACCAGGCTGATGTCTCCAGCTAGGAAACTGATGTACTTCTTGGTTGACTTTTGGAAGATCAATGATCTGCCATTCAAACCTTTTTCCTGGAACACTTCATATGTTTATAAGGATGGCAATGAGACTGAGGACTGTTTCTGGTAAGGAGGATCATTAACATTGTCGGACACTTACCATAAAGTAAGCCATAAACTCATAGCAGATATCTGGTTATTATCAGATGTGCCTTTCATCTATAGAGCAGTGTAATGGACAGAGAGAGAGAGAGAGAGAGAGAGAGAGAGAGAGAGAGAGAGAGACATATAAAAGCAAAGGTGTCAAAGCAAATAAAATATCATAAAAATAATCAGCATAAATCATTCATGACATTCCTTCTAGTTTTGAAAGTATGTTCACATTAGTTTTATTGATTCTCCACAGTAAGTTCTCTGAAGAAAAAAAAATAACTGGTACTATAAGACCAGAGAAAGTGCGTCCTGCCCATGCTACATGTACTTATCAACTGTAGCAAAAGTGGCAGAGAGATTCTTTTGGTTGGGTTACCGGTGGTGCTTCCAGAATGCTGCATAGTTCTGCAGTCTCTGTCTTCCTAGGTTTGCAGAAGTATAAGATTGGATACCACAGGGATGCACCTCTGGGAAAATATAGGAATCAGCTCTAAGACCTCACCCTAGAAACTTTGGGGTGAATGGAGAACACCAAAAAAAAAAACCCATTTCACATAGGAGCAGAAATTATTTTTATCAACTCTGAGTTTTTGGACTATACATTCAATGGCTTCTGGTTCATAGAGCAGAGTAGACCCTCCCTTCTATAAGTAGCAGGAAGCAAGTAGAAGGGACCCATCAAATGCCTATTATTTCTATATATGCATGAAGATCCCCTAAAACTTCCTCTATACATTCACTAAGTTAGCTGTCCACAATTTAAATCAGTGGTATAATGGTGTGTACTACCTATTGAGTTAATAGCAGAAATTAATTTTAAATAAAGTCCCAGGACAGATTTGCAAATGACAAGTGAAAGTCATGGGAAGGCCATGAGGAAACAAAATTGTCTTCTTACTTTCTCCTTTTCCTGTTCAGGTACCTTAATGCTCTAGAGGCTGGAGTTTCCTATTTTTCTCAGGTACTCAGCTTCAAGGATACCTTGAGACGAGATGACCAGTTTCGGGATATCATAGTGAATCATAACAGGAAAAGCAATGGTAAAAATATAGGGAAACAATCGTTTTGCAAGACCTTTCCTCATGACTACCACCTCCTTCAGAGTCATTCTGACAAACTTACCACTGAATAGTTATCATCATTACCTGTATATATTCTGTATATTTAGGAGATCTATAGATCTATAATTGCTTGCAACTTTATTATTTTGTTTCCTCCATTGATTAGTTAATTAGTTACTTCATTGTTTCACTTTTACTGTATCTTTTATCCTCTGAAAGAAAAACACAAAAGTAGGATTGAATAAATATATTCACATAATGAATACAGATAATTATGCTAACATCCAGCTTTTAGAAACTAAAATGATATCAAAAGCTATCATTGGTAAACTGCTAAGTGCACTTTAATCCAACATATTATTAGATTTGTGACTAATCCTCACAGGTTCTGAACCCTGATCCTCCTGCTAACCAAGAAGATAAGTTTATTGATATACAGGCTCAGGAAAAATTACAAGGCAGCAAAGATCATCTCACTTTCCTAATCTATATCTCACCTGCCCCATGAGTTAGAAGCCAAGTGTGAAAAACTAATGGAATAAAATCAACCTCATAAATCATTAGGTGATTTATTGCACTTTCCATAAAATTCTTTTTATAAACCAGAACATATCAGGAACAAAGGAATCAATTGTGAGAATTTCCTTGAAGAAAACATGCTTTCTTGGCAGATTGTCTGAAATCACTCAAATAAACTGTTGTGATTAAGAATTTGCTATATTAAAACCTACCAGTTGCAAAACATTAACCAAGATCTGAGGATAAAAGAAGTATAACATTATTCGTGCCCTTAAATTCTTTACAATTCGACTGGACAAAAATGGCAAATAAAAAATGTTTAATGAAGCTCCCCAACTCCTCTTTCTCACAAAACCATGCATTTAGGAAATAGTTAGCTATGGGTTTTGGTAGAGCTTCCGATTGGATTCTGTCACTCAAATTTCTAAGACTGAGTTCCAAGTTAAAAAGCTACAGGCAAAGCCCAAGGAAAGTTGCTTAGAAGGACTTTATAAATTCTTTTCACATTCACTTTTACTGTATCTTTTCAATCATTTTCGAAATGGTAGGGTGCACTTCACTTCTCTGCAAATGGCTTCTATAATAACTCCACCTCAGTGTAATGGAATAAGCATTCACAACTTGAGTTCTGCTCAGAGCTGTCTCAGTCGTCTCCGTCATCTACCAATCAAAGGACCCCTTTGGCTTTTGGCGTCAGTCTCCCTAAATCTATGAAATTAAGGGAACAGACCAAAAGATTTTTTTTTTAAAGAGAGAGAGAGAATTTTTTTAATACTTATTTTTAGTTTTCGATGGACACATCATCTTTATTTTTATATGGTGCTGAGGATCGAACCCAGCGCCTCCTGCATGCCAGGCGAGCGCGTTACCGCTTGAGCCACATCCCCAGCCCAAGACCAAAAGATTGTTAAAGATTCCATGCAGTCCTATTCTGACTTCATAACCATAAATGAAAAAGGGAATGAGATTTAGGGATTTGGTATTAATTTAAAAAAATATAATATGGACATATTGTATTCAAATCCAGAAAACTGGTTTTTCCTCCCAATCTTATGTAGACAACCGTTGATTTCTCTCCTTGTCTTGCTTTCTCTCCTCTAGTAATTGTTATGTGTGGTACACCAGAAACTTTCAACAGCCTGAAGGGTGACCAGGAAGTGGCTGAAGACACAGTCATTATCTTAGTGGATCTATTCAAGTAGGTATCATACCTGGAGGGACTGCCTTTCAGAAGGGGAGTACTCCAGGGGCTTCCAACAGATACATAGTCTTTGCACAGCCTCTTAAAGGGTTCAGTTTGACAGTAGTGTTTGAATTAAAGTTTCTTTCTCACCCTCATTCTCATATAATCAATTGTGAGCTTCGCAGGGATAGAGTCCTTTGACACCTTCATCATTGCTGAATGCAAAATTTTATTAAAGGTCCATTAAATCCACGTTCATTCATCCATGAGACCTACTCATCAACCTAGGATCCTGATTCCCACGCTGATGTTAAGGTCTTTGTCTAGGAAAAGATAAATCAATTAACCGTTCAATAATACTATTCCTGTGAATATGGGCCTCATTTTGTTTTTCTTCAGTTGCTAATGGCATTTGACCCTCTTTTACTTTTCTCTCTGGCCTCTTTGTTGAGAGTAAAGCTTTAGCTATGTAGGTTTGATTTGTAAAATTATTCCTTGCTTTCTAAGACCTAATCACTTGGTGGTAACATTTTCTTTGCACTTCTTTGGGACTATAGTATCTCAATAAGACATTATATTCCATTATATCAAGTTGACTGTTGTCCATATTAACCCAGAGGAGTCCTAGTTTATTCCTGTTGTCCTAGTATCCTATATGGTTGGAGCATTTGTCTGAGGAAAAGGGCTTCCACTTGGACACTAAATCATAGTCTCCTTATTATAATGCAGAACACATTGGACTTAGTCATTGTACCTTAATGTGATTAAATTTGTTGGATGCTTTCTATTCTCAGTCCCAGAGATGTGCAGAAGAAAAGATTGCCACCAAGTGACTTCTCTGCACTTTATCTGCACTATGAATTCTGCAGAGTAGAAACCATCTTTTATCACAGCCTGTACATATTTTTAGCACTCATCTGTTAATATGTCTGGAAACTCACTAACAAGTGCCAAAGTAAGATGAGTTATTCTAAGCATAAAGGAGGTGTTGCTGGTGTGCCGTGCCTGTGCCCCTTGTCCCATGAGTTGAATCATGTGACTTTACTTATCTGACTGGACCATTAATCATTACCTGTCTGCATTCAGACCTGAAGTGATTGTTGCTCTCCATCTCCCCGATATTAGCCTGGTCTTTACTCCCACACTAAGAGTACTTTTCCTAGTGGGAAGGGAAATGAATGCAGGCCTGTTTCACAGCTAGATGTTCATGAAGACTAACAATCAATCTCACCTTTTAGCTTTAGAAGTGTAGGAAGTTATTAACATTTCACTCCCACCAATACATTAATTCTAGTGACTGCTTTGTCTTCAATGTAGCCAAATTGGTATAATTTCACTTTCCGCAAACCCTCCATCAACTGCTAAAATGCTAGTTTTCCTTGGTGAGTAGTCCCCAAGGACTCATGGCTAAGTTTCAAGAACATCATGAGATTCAAAAATAGACCAATTTGTGTTCGAATTCTAATTCCGACACTTCTGGTCCTTTTGACTCTTGAGTCTTAGCATATTGGGACGAAATCTTCTCGTTTGTAAAATGAGAATTAAAATGTCCATTTTGTGCGTGTCCATTTAGATGTGATAATATGAGCAAGAGTCAGCATAGTCCTTAGCACACAGATGTGTTTAAACATTAAATGATGATCACTCTAGTGATAGCAGTTTGATCATGTTAGATTCTTTGCATTTTGAAACATCCAAATGATTAGGAAGCATGGAAACCCTATAATTTTCAGAGCAATCTCAGACAGTATCAAGAGTCTGTAGCATGTCAAGCATCATCGAAGAGCTTATGAAATGAGGGTCAATGAGCTACTGTCCCACATGTCAAGAAGCTTACAGTGCTAGAGAAAACGTTTACTTTTTATGCTTATGCTTTACCATCTGGAAAGTAAGTTTAATGATAATATTTCTCTGTACCATATCCCAATATCTCTAAGTTGTTAAGAGCACCCAGGGTCATTAAGCCTTTGGAGCAAGTATTGGTTCACATGTCCAGAGCCCAAAAATTTCCCTCAAAGATGTACCTGTATTCTGATTTTCTTTTCCATTTTCCTATGTTAATCACAACAGCCTAAGTTCTCTCGTGCATCTTAGCCAATGTAGAGGGAGACACTTCTATCTGGGGGAGGTAGAAAATTTTGTAGATTACTAAAAAAAAAAAAAAAAGTTTTAAAGTATTTTCCAGGCCCATGTTATATTTTCTATGAATTGTGGAAGATGCACCTCAGTTTTGGGAGGAACTTAATTTTATGAGGAACATATGTTTTTGATTATAGTGACTACTACTTTGAGGACAAAGCCATAGCTCCTGATTATATGAAAAATGTCCTTGTTCTGACTCTGCCTCCTGGAAATTCCATGATAAATACCTCTTTCTCCAGGAGTATTTTACCGGTAAGCTGTGTGTGTGTATGTGTGTGTATGTGTGTGTGTGTGTGTGTGTGTATGTGTGTGTGTGCGTGCACGCTACTGGGGATTGAACCCAGGGCCTTGTGCATGTGAGGCAGGCACTCACACTGAGCTGTATCCCCAGCCCAGGTGCATTGCTTCCTATCTCTGGCAAACGTGATTCTTCACAGACAGGCAGACCAAAATGCATTAGGTAAAAGAACCACTTGATCTCACTGGGGCAAGAGTGTTAATTCATTGCCCAGTTCTGTGAGGATCACCACGCAACAGCCACAGAGACAGAGGAGTTCTGATCTGCCCATTATTCTCCCCAGGGCAGACATTTGAGGCCCGAAGTCATACCCAGTCCTCAAAGTAGGCTTGGTAGTATTCTGTCACCAAAACTGTTCATGTCACATTCAGGATTCTTAAAGACAAGGTTTTTTGTGCGTGTGTGTGCCCGTGTGCATGCATGTGTGTTCTTCTTTTTCGCTTTAATAAAACATTAAACTATGAGCAAGTATTTCTGCATAAAATCTTATAAGAATCATGGAAATGCTTTATGTTGACTTTCTTGGCTGCAGTTATTTCTTTTGTCACTTTGGGAAAGAAGTAAAGCTGCCTGGAGATACTTCCCTAAAAGAGTATTCTTATTTTATTGATCCCAAGAAAAAGCAGAATTGTGCCACTGGATAACAAAGAACACTGACCCAGGGAAGGGTCAAATATTCCTTTACCTTGCCAATGACCTGCTGATCCCAAGAACATTTTGCTGCAGTCTCAAGACCAGAATCTCTTTTGGGGAGGGGGACCCTTTTTAAGATTTTCCTTTCTTATTCAGGAAAAAAATGACTTTGCTCTTGCTTACTTGGATGGAACCTTGCTCTTTGGGCACATGCTGAAGATATTTCTTGAGAATGGAGAAGCGATTGCCACTTCCAAATTTGCGCATGCTTTCAGGAACCTCACATTTCAAGGTACTGGTCTCCTATAAGCAAGCAGCCCAGCTGAAGAGATGTGGGCTTTGGGAAATGGGGCATGGTATAGGGGTTGGTGGCAATTGATGGTTCAAGATCTAAGACCTTTGAACTCAACTGGGGGCAAACATCATTGCATCAATTTGGGGAATGGCACTATGGATAACTGGGCAGTAGTTTATACCTCAGACTTTCAGAACCTTTGGGTATCAGAGAGTAAGCATGTGGCTCAGAAAGTATGAGCTCTCACAAGGCAGTTAGATAAGCGGCATCCTGGATATGCTCCGAGACTAGCAAGAAGAGAAATATTTGTAGTTTGATTTTGGTTCTTTATACTTCCCTTTCTATCCTTCAAGGATCCAGGACTCCGTTAAACCTATAACTGCCCAAACCCCTCATAACCATACCACCCCAAACAACACATGTCCCTCCAAACTGCTGGGTTGACTTCGCCTTTATTCACAAGTCTCTATCCACAATCTCACCTTTCACTTCCCAGATCTTATCCAGAGATGATAAAGAAATTTTCCTGTTAGACATTTCTTTTTTCCTCTAACTTGCCTTTAAAGTCTTACTCTGGAAAACCTTTGTCCAACTGCACAGAGAAGTCTTCTGTCCGCTTCAGTGGGCAGAAGCTGCCTGGCACTAGATCTGGGGGCTGTACCAGGAGCTGTGGTTTATGACAATGATAAGAAGAGATCGTGTCAGTCCCCTGAAGAAGCAGGGAGGGAGAGAGAATCATTGACCCTTCCATGTGTCCCAAGTTCTCCCAGGCACTTCAGTGCATTCTTAATCTTCTTACCTCCATGATCATGGTCAAGCATCCTAATAGCCCCTGGCCCAGGCTCAGACAGGAGACATCTATTTCAGTCTTAGTTTAATAACCTATCAGCTTTACAATCCTGAGCAGATTACCTAGTATTTCTGAATGTAATTATAAATTATTTCTTATGAATAACATAGAAATAATAATAGTTTCCATATCATGGTAGTCTAGGGAGAATGAAATGATAACTTCATAGAAAATACTTAGCACAGAGATGATTTGTAGTAAATGTGAGATAAGTGTTAGATTATCATGTTGAGCCATGTGAAATTGCTGATTTGATCATTTTTAAATCCAAACAGCCATTTAATAGGTTCATCTTACACTGCTGTTATTTCATAGATAAATGATAGTGAAGAGATTTTGTTCTTTTTATGGTCTAAGTTAGACTTATGCACTATGGGACTAGGTTAGTAAATATTTTCAGCAAAAGTTTGTCACTAATAACTGAGGAATTTGTTAACTGATTACATTTAGTGTCATCCTAAATGCAATGAAAAACATTTTTACCTCAAACAACATCTCCCACAAAAACATCCTTCTGAAATCTCAGGGTCAAGAGCCAATTCAAGTGTCCTCTGACAAGAACATTAAGCTTAACAACTTTTCAGCAGATTTGAAATAGAGCTATTTGAAACCTTTCTGTCGTGGTTTCAGGCAAGAAGTCAATAGTGGCCTATAAAACTCTCTGATTTTGCCCTAGGCTATACAGGTCCTGTGACTTTGGATGACTGTGGGGATATTGACAATACTATGGTGCTTCTGTATGCCTCCATGGACAACCAGAAGGTACGTCTGATGGCTTAACAGGAAACATAGGGGTGATACACCTGGGTGAGGAGGATAACCTGAAGTAACCTGATGAGAGTCGATAGCGAAGCAATTGGAAAAGTTATGCTTAGAATCTGAAGGCAGTTCATTTCCGTTTTATAAATATACTCTACTTGGGGTAGTATTCCTTAAGCATTTTAGACCAAAGAACTTATTACCCAGATTATCAATTATATTTACTCTCCATACATATGTGTGTGGGAAAACACACACACACACACACACACACACACACACACATATATAAACATCCAAAATAGATTAATATAAGGATCAGAATATTTATTCATGGAATATCAATCAGAAGATAACAAGTCTCTCCTCAGAATTGCTTATTCATTTTCGCTACTCAAGATTTCTATGAGATAGTCTCTGTTCTCTCCATCAGAACTCCTGGGGAGATGGGCTGGGGTTGTGGCTCAGCGGTAGAACTCTTGCCTAGGATGTGTGAGGCCCTGGGTTCGATCCTCAGCATCACATAGAAATAAATAAATAAATAAAGGTATTGTGTCCAACTACAACTAATATATATATATGTATATATATATATATAAAACTCCCAAGAAAATCATGACCTGTGCAATCCTTCAGGCACACAGTCAGACCCATAACATTTTTGCCTTTATCTACAATGTATATCTTTTTTCCTTACCTATATAGAAATTCCTGTAAAGAGAGGGAGTGGGTTAAACTCATCTCTCCATGTCTCCCGTGTTTTGCTTTTTATTCAGCACCTAGGTGACAGCTGATCAACATTTAATTTAAAAAGAAAACACCCCACTTTGTCATCCAAAGTTGTGTTCATCCAAACTATGAAAGCCACTGTTCCAGCCAACCAAATGGTCAATAAAATGCTTTTTCCTTCAACAAATCAGATTCTGATATATCTGAGGAATCTAAGAGAAAAAGTCATGCATTTTTTTCATTTTTCAGAGTGAATGTTATCACCTGCTTTATATTGAGTGTATGTATATATTGACCTAGCTTTGCGAAAGACATCTACAATGACAAATGTGAAAAACTAGAGAAAAGATGTGCAGTTTGGGAAAGGTACACTGGAAATTTGGGGGCAACATTTCAGAGAAGTAATCTATAGTTTTTAGTTACTATAATGAACCTTTAATATAATACTATTTTTGGAATAAAATCCATGGGAATACCTTAAAATTGGATCTTCTCAATGTTTCAGCCACTAATAGGAACTAGAAATATACCTACACCCTCCTCCAAGTATTTGCTTCTGGGATGATGCCCATGGAGAGAGGCAGACATGTATGATATCTTATCTCAGCCTCAGACAACTCCTCAAAGTGAAAAACTTTGCTCTCTGCATTTATCCGCTCTAAAAGCAAATTTGGTTGAATTTTTCAATAATCTAATGCTATCAATTGTATTATGTATGTTTGGGAAAACCAGAGATTACTTCTCAAGACAGCTACAGAGATGATAGTCCATATCCAAGGTAGTTTTCAGTAGAGATTCAATATGCCATGTCCTAATACATAAGATATTTCCTATCCTCAATGTATGCAATTATATATTCTGTTCTTAAGTGTAAAATTTTGAAAATGTTAACTATCTGTCCAGAGTATATTGAGGAAATGGTGGTAAATTTAGAAGGATGGTTATTTTTCCAATGTCTCTTAGAAAATGTCTCAATATTTGCAATAATAATTTAAGAATATACCTTTTATGTTTCCTTTAGCAGATTACTTGAAAAATAAATCTTTTATTGTAGTAACTAATTAGTGTCATGTGTAGGGACCTAATGGGATAGAAGAGATTAGAAAATTATGAAATTGATAGAATTTAAGGAATGTAGAATTATCTCAGGATCCCTTGGCATGTATTAAAAAATGTTATAATGGGTTTTACCTGTGATATCTTTACTCATGATGGTTTCCAAAAGCAGCTTAATATTGTGGAAAACACTGGTGACCATGTATGGCGAGAATTGGAGTTGGCCATTAAATTTTTCTTGGACTCTGTTTTAACATTGGTAAAAATGAACGACGTGGACTAGTTCTCTAAAGAATCAAAGTAACTGTGTTGGGCAGAGACTAATGGTATTGTACATGGCCATAAAGATATATAAAACTAATTGGCCCACATGGAAATTAAATCCATGTTCGTACACCACAGAACGAACTATCCAAAGTCCATTGATTTTAATATGTGTTTTGGTTTGTAAAAAAATTATAGTAATTTCTTGCACATTTTTGGAAATTAATTGTTTAAGAGTTTACATATCTGCTCCTAGATACAGTTTGTATATAAAAATTTGGTTCACAAGAAAAAAATAAATCCATGTTCATGCCATGAACCAATAAACAGATCCTAACTAGTTCCAAGCTTTTTTACAATTACCTTGTTCCAGTGAGAAGTGTTATTTAAATGCAAATATCATTGGGCAAGACAGGAGAACTCACCTGTTCATCCGTTTCTTTTTTGTGCCCTGACACAGTACAAGATTCTTTTGACTTATGACACCCACACAAATAGTACCACTGCAGAGGACACGCGCCCCTCATTCGTCTGGAGGAACCATAAACTTCCTAATGATATCCCAGGCCGGGGTAAGATATTCTGAGTGAATTTCCTTTCCCTAAAATTGTTTTTCTGGTAAGAAGAGTAAACTATATGGTTTATGAAGTTAGTTTATGATTATTGTTGTTTGGTTTGGTCCTCCAACTAAATTTTCCAGGTTTATAAATGTGGACTTTATTACCCTGAACCATGAATTACATTAAAGTTCTGATTAAACACGGAAAATACCCCTATTCTAATTTTGCCAGACCCATCTTTAAAAATGTGTTGTACCCTTGGACATAAATTATCCCATAGAAGTCTAAAGTTTGGCAATTG